AAATATCCATCTCTGCTGCTTCGAAAACTTTTTCCATTAACTCCTGGATTGTGACACCTTTTGAGGCCTCAAGGAGACCGAGTCCACAGATAGCCACGGAATCAGAAGGTCTAGTGTAGGATGGAGGATGTAAAAACAAACCAATTACACAAAATACAGATTAAGGCCCAGCATCTTGGAAGCAAGTACTGTTTGTCACAAGGTTTTCCAGCCACCAGTCATGTTACTGGGAACTAGCTGTTTATTTAAAATTCCAGCACCAATTGAATGCTGATTATTCTTCTGAGTGCAAGTTTGCCTTTTCTGGGACTACTTAAGAAGGTAGCCCTCAGGACAGAAGCTGAGCAATCTGTTCTCAGCTCAACTCATAGAGTGGTTTGTTTATAGTTGTTTATAAGCCGCCTAGAGTGGTCGTTCAACTAGATAGGTGGGGTATAAATGCAATCAATCAACCAACCAATCAATATTGTGAGGAGTGGGTAAAGAGGAGTCAGAGGCTCCTGACATAGCAAGTCTTCAGCTCCTTGATGTTTGGCTCAGGAACTCTTAGGGTCTTGATTGAAAACACTCAGACCGTCTGGTAGGGTGGCCAGCTCAGGCTTTTCAGATGTTGCTGGACTACAACACTCCTCATCCTTAGCCAGCATATCCAATGCTGTTCTACATCATCTACAAAGCCACAAGCTGCCTGTTCTTCTTCTTACTACACGCTCACACCCTACACTTCTGTGCCTATACCAGTGACTCAGATCCGATCAGCTTTTTCCGTTGCATGGCCAAGTCCCAACTACAGTGGTGCCTCGCTTAACGAGCGCACCGTTTAACGACGAATCCACATAGCGACACATTTTTTGCGATTGCTAATGCAATCACATTGCAATGTTCTGAATAGGGTAAACATTGCATTGCGATGATCGGTAAGCGTTTCGAGGGTTACCGATCTTCGCATTGCAATGTTTTGGAACAGCTGATCGGCGATTCCAAAATGGCCTCCCGCAGCGTTTTTGTGTCGATTCCTCGCTTACCGAGGTGGCGAAAATGGCGGTTGGATGGAGGATTCCCTGCATAGCTGTGAGTTTTGTCCCCATAGGAACGCATTAAACAGAGTTTAATGCATTCCTATGGGGTTTCCCCCCCCGCGTAGCGGCATTTTTCCTGGAACGGATTAACGTCGCTATGCGGGGCACCACTGTACTATTAGAGACAGGTGTCAAGAGAGCACTTGTCCTATTTTGTTCACAAATTTATTTTTATATATGTATGTGTTCATGAAAAAAAATTTTTTTTAAATCTGCAAAATTAGAAATTTTTCTCTGAACAGATGGAAGGGATTCATAAGGCAATTCAATAAAACCATTGTACTTTAAAGCTTTGGAACAATAATAAAAATTCCCTGAAAATCAGCAGCCATAAAACAGCAATATAAGTAATAAACCAGGAAGAAGAAGAAGAACAACAAGAACAAGGAACAGTTTGAAATAAATCAAACAGCTGGAAAAATAAACCACTACATGTACAACACCTTGGAAATATTGATGGAAAGCATGATCATAATTCAACATGGGCATGGCTAAAAGTGGGGGCCCTTAAGAAAAAAAACCTGAAGGTTTGATTTTTGCTGCACAACAACAAGCATTTCAAGCCAATGTGATGAAAGCTAAGATTCAAGGAATTAGTGCTAGCAGCAAATGTCAACTCTGCCAAGAAAAATATGAAACTGTGTCACACCTCATCTGTTAATGTCCAAAGATTGCACAAACAGATTACAAAATTAGAAATGATAGAATGGCAAAATTAGTTCACTGGTCATTATGCAAAAAATATACGTAACTTGCCAGCCTCTCAAAACCCCTGGGAACATCAGATAGAGAAGGTGTCAGAAAATGAGCAAGTCAAGATCTTGTGAGACTTCCAGATCCAAACAGATAGAAACCTTGAACATAACACACCAGACATAGTAGTAGGGTAATAGAATGAAGAGATGTCCGGATAATTGACATTGCAGTTCCAGAGGATGCCAGAGTTGAAAATAAAGAATTGGAAAAACTAACAAAGTTAAATCAAAACATCTCGCCTCTGGAAGAAGCACACTTAAGTGGTGCCCATGTCATTTGGGCGTTGGGAACAATATCAAGAAATTTCACACAGTACTATAAGCAGTTGCAGATTTCAGAAATCACACCATCAGAGGTGCAAAACCCAGCAATATTAGGAACAGCATATATACTGCCCTGATATTTAACAGATACTTAGTTTTTGTGTTAAAACTTGTATCTGTTATATACGTAATATCAGTATACCAGTCAATGTTTCATCATCATCATCATAATGGCAAATCAGGATGAGCGCAAATCAGAAAAGAGAGAAGGGAATCTCCTTGTGAAAGTGGGAAGTGACAGAAGAAAATCTACACATTTGGGGCCAATTCTTAATTCTCTAAATGGTGGTTTGGATAACAGGACTGGAGTGTTTCAACGAGGCAGGTACTGTATCTTTGTTGCATTTCCTAGACTTATAAAACACAGATCAGTGTGGTTTCTAGAAGCTGATCTCTATATCTATACTTCCAAATGCTTGGAATGCAACTCAGTGCAATTTGGTATTCTCTACTATATTTATTAGCAAATGGGGTATGTGTGCATTTCCCAGGTTTGTGTGTGAAGAATTCCAATGCAGATACAAGACTGAGATTTGCACAAGAACTTTAGCAGTTTTTAAACTTCCAAACTTGCTTTGTTTCTGCTCTTTTGTTAAATTACAGTTGTACTTATGTTTAATTTCATCCCCCCATGTGTGTGTTTCCTAAATTACATGTTCAGTAAGCCTGAAAAAGACCTGGATGATGGTAAATGAAAGGTGCTGCAGGTTTCTCAAAATGAGAAAGGGTGTGATGGCAAAAAGTTTGGGAACTGCTCTAGTAGCAACCAGGTGACTCTAACTCCATAGTAAATAATTTGCAGTTTTAGGGACTCAACAAATAAAATTTCTTCCTTTCAGTGACATCAGGATTTCTGTGGCATTCAGTATGCATATTTTATTAGTAATTATTATTAATGCACCCAGTATGTACATTTAACATTAATAATATTCAAATAATAACTACCACCATATTAAAATAGTTATGTTATTATTTGTAGTTATGTGCTGTCGAGTTTGATTTATAACAATCCTAATAAGGTTTTCCAGGTATGTGAGATATTTAAGAAGTGTTTTACCAGTGTGCCCCCCCCCCAATGAGTTTTCACATCCAACTGAGGATTCAAATCCAGGTCCAACACTCCATCTGCTACAGTCACATACTGAATATTATATGCTACTATAACCTATGGCATTTCCAGTGTACAAAGCCTTTCAAATCTTCTGTTTTGGGTTCATATTAACAAGGGCATCCTGCTTTTTCAATCTCATCACACTAGCAATCAAAGTGGTAGCAGTGTGTTTTAAAATGGTCAGTTTATGAAGTGTTTCTGAATTTCTACTCACCCAGAACACAAAGTTCTGAAGGTCACCTCATGAACGTCATTCAATGCAAGGCTACAAATATGACAGCTCTATAAGCCTAATATTTTGGGCTTCTGTTTTTAATGCTGAGGGTTGACCCTGGAGTATATGAAGGCAGAAGAGGCAAAAGGGCCTAGGCCCTAGGGTATTCAATTATTTCCCACTGCCTTTGTATCAAGACTGATCCAAGAGGTTTCACCATCTGAAGCCGAGCAAGAAATGGTGCCCCCTCCTCCATTCAAAGTGAAGAGCACCCAAATCCTGCCATCTTATTTTGTGGCACATGAGGTAGAAACTCCCACAACTCCCTCTCCTTAAACCTAGTGATAAAATCACAACAATACCTGATTCCCAGTGTAGTGTAATGTAGAGTGAGGGACTACAGCTCTGGAGATCAGAGTTCGAATCCCCGCTTGGCCACAGAAACCCACGGGGGGGGGGGGGAAAACTGGTAAAACCACTCCTTTGAATGTCTCACCTTGAAAGCCGGCTTTCGCCGAAAGTCAGCACAGAAAACACACACACACACACACACACAGCATTTACAGGTCACTAGCTAGCAAATCTTGAGCAAGAGAGAGAGAGAGAGAGCTATGTCCTTCCTACTCTTTCCCCGTGCTCAAAATCTGCTGCTCAAGACCTCCACCTCATCCTGGCTAACGGCAGGGCCGGCCCCATTTGCTACAAAAATAATCAAGACAATCCTCTTGTCACGAGGTTGAAGTTAGCTTCTTATTCGGCCAGCTTCTTATTCACTTCTTATTCGAGATCCAGCTTCTTATTCACTTCTTATTCGTGTCCCAGCTTCTTATTCAGAACATGTTGTATTTAAACCATTAAACCAAGTTGGATCACTCAAATATCAGGGTATTAATAATAAATCATAACTCTAACACAAATTACAATAGTATTTTGCCTTGCCCAAGGCTGTTTTGGGCACGGAATAGGCTGGCGAAGTGGGCACCGCTGCATATTTTACCATTTTGAATAAGAAGCTGGAGTTCTGTATCTGAGCCACCCCGCATATATGAGACACAACCTATCCAAGCAGTGGGGCGGCGGATTTCAGAACAGAAGGCTGGAGATCTCCCTCCACAACTCAGCACCCTCCCCTGTGTCGTGCTGCCGCTTTTCCCTCTCGGCCCACGCGTTTGCTTTCGCTCGCCCTTCCTCCCCGGAGAGGACGTCGGGGGCCCTCCCCGCCTTCGCCTGAAGTGGCTTTGCGAGCTAACCCTCCTCCGCGGTGCCCCATCGCCAGGCCGCCACAGCTGAAGGTTGTTCTTCCTAATGTTTCACCAGTCTCTGTGGCCAGCATCTTCATAGGATGCTACAGAGCATGGACAGCCCCCCCCGGCGCTCCCCGCGCGCACTCTTCAGCCCGCCTTCCCGGTGGGTGTGAATGCGTGGGCGAAGGGGGCGTGAGCGCGCGTGGTTGTGTGTGACTGCGGCCGGGCTCAGCGTGATTTACGGCTCTGCTGAAAACCGGTTCCCCCCGCAGCAGCAGCAGCAGCAGCAGCACTGCTCCCACTCTCCGCCGCCGCCGCCGCCGCCACCGCTGGCAGCCGCCGCCACAGCAACAAGTCAGGTGAGGCGCTGCCAGCCCGGAGCGCGGGGAGGCGAGCGGAGGGCGCGCTGGGCGGAAAGCGGAGCGACCGAGGGAGACCTGGAAGGAGCCCGAGGTGGGTGGCTGAAGATGCCGATGCCTGTCGGGAGTGGGGCCAGAGAGG